AAATAAGCAACTTAGATTAAGCATAAACATACCACATCAAACTAACCTCAAAACTCACAAAACCAACATAAAACTCACACACCCTTATTACAATCTTATCTCTTCAAGAACCACAAATTTACATCCATAAATCCAAGCTTAAAGTTGGCTAGAAATTAATGGAGGGGAGTTTAAGAACTTTCCCTTGAAGAATTCTCTCTTTCTCTTGAAAAACCCTTGAACTCCTCTAGGATTGTTAATGGCTTGAAACTATAAGAGTATAAGGAAATTTGAGAAGAATATTTCTCTATTTCAAACTTTCCCAAAACATGAAAAAGAGAGGATTTAGAGTTTCTTTACCCTTAGAGGAATGCTTGACTAGTTTCCTCCTAGAATCCCTTAATCTCCTTCTTCTTCTTCTATGGTGTGCTAGTGGCTCAAGATTTGGAGAGTGGGAGAAAATATTTGAGAGGAAATGGAGAGTGTGTGGCCGGATTTTTGAGTGGGAAAAAGCTAGGAGAAAAAAAATGAAGCTTATCCTATGTTGGTTCCTTTTATAGGCAACTTGGAAACTATTTTTTTTAACACCAATTCCACTCCATCATTCAACCAAATTTTTGGTTAAAGTCCCCCTTTCTTGGCCGGTTTTGGAAGGAGAAAAGGAGAAGCAAATTTGCCATTAATTCCCTTTCAACCACTACAATCACATCACCTTAACATGTCATCCACTTGCACACTCAACTAGCTAATTTTGGCTCTATTTTTTTTTTGCATGGCCGGTGGTGTGCTTCAAGAAGGAAGTGTGGTAAGCATTTATGTCTAATAGTTGATTTGACACAATCCCATCACACCTTATCATGTAATCCCCTAGCACACTCAACTAGCCAATTTTGGCTCTAATTTTTCTATGCATGGCCGGCCAAAGTGGAGAAGGAGAGAGAGAAAAATAAATCCTACCCCTTGTACTTTAGTCCACTCTCTTAAGTTACCTTTGAATCAGGTAAAAATCATACTGACTGTAAAGGGTACTTAGCTGACAGGAAATTCTTGTTTCTGAACAGTTCTCTTTTTTTTTCTACTACTTATTTACAGTTCAACTTTTAAATCCTCGTCTGCTTTGATATCACGTTAAATTCTTACTCGCGTAATATCTTAAACTGTTTCAAGTCTTGAAATTAATTCTAGACTGAATAAATTCTAAATTTAACTTTTCTGCATTAT